CCTAATGTTATTTTGCTTGTGTTTGTGGCATTTGTGTTTTTGGTAGGTGTGTGCATGCCCATAAATACTGTATATAAGTGTGTCTGACCATAAAATCCAGTGACCTCAGTAAAACTGAAACAGTCCTGACTCGCGCTTCCTTCTCTCCGTCATCACAAATCTCAGCTGTGCAGCTCTCTCTTTACTGTACATCCTTCACATGCTGCATTTGTTCAGATGCTGGTTGACTTTGATGGTATGCATATTTTGAGTTTTCTTCAATTTGTAGTCAGAGTGCTTCAACAATGAAAGTTATCCTACTTGCCAGTCCCCGGATTAGATTTTCTTGGTTTTAAGATTAGATTTAGCAGCTCACTGGAGGGCACATCTTGCCATTTGTTTAAATTTTGTGGGTTCAGGCTTATGACTTTCTCGCCTGCTATTCAAATGGTCTCTAAACACATTTCTATCCCCCAGAAAGTTATGCTGTTATCTGTTGTATGTCTTGCTGAAGTACCTGGCCTGCAGTTAATTTCTTCAGCTCTTCGCTGGTGGTATTTGTACTGTAAGCAAGTGGAATGGTAAAATCATACTATATATTGTTTTGCTTTTTGTTTTAGTCTTGTTTTTTATAATGAAGTTGGAATAGCTTGATTGAAACTCAATTAAACATTTTCTGGAAATGTGCTAATCATTCCGTCAGACCCCTCTTTGGCGTTTGTTGTTTTTTCAAAACTTTTGTGGAGACCTGGGAAGCTTTGATTTACCATAATCAACTTAATTTTGTGCCTGTCAGCAGAAACTGACTAACTTAACTGAACTGAACTGTCAACAGCTGCTGACCACAAAACATCAGCTGACAAGCTTGTTAACCACACACGTCATCCAGGTTTCCCTTATCTCCAGGAAATTATTAAACTTCTAGTGACTTGTTGATTATATCCCTTTCAGTGTATCGTCAGTATTTCAGAGACGTTACTGTCCATTGTGAATGGAATAAAGAGGAATTTTAAACCTCAAAAAATCAAGAACCATGAATCACTTTGTTTCGTGTCGACATATTTTATGCTCCTATCTTATAAGATAATTACTTGAGCAACCATCAGGGCGGTTTCAGTTACCCTCAGTTGGCTGGTACATCAGCAAAGCAACGACAGAGGCAGTGAATTCAAAGCATGAAAACTATTGAAATTCTATCAGCAAAAAATTAAACTGTGTCAGAAAACCTGTCCTGGGATGCATAAAGGGTGTTGCTGCCCTGAATATCTCTATGCTACAAATACTCACCCACAAATAAAGAAAAAAAAGTGTCAATTTGCTGTTTGACATGATAACCCAAATTGCTTTTACATATATTCCATCTATGTGCAAATTTTCAGGTTTTGTCGTCCTTTCCTTGAAGGAGTAGTCTGACATTTTGGAAAATATGCTTATTCACTTTCTGGTTGAGGGTTATAGGAGAAGATTATTTGCCACAATCTGTACGTCAAACAGAAGCTACAGATATGGGAGTGTTATCATGCTCCCATCTAACTCTGCCAGTAAGCTAATTAGTATTGATTAGTATTGACCAAAATATTGATCTAGGCTATTCCTCTGAAAGATTTCACATTCAATTAGTTTCTATTGTAGCACATTCTTTTCTGAAACTTAGAGGTACACAAACCAAAGATGTCAAGCCATTGGTTCCTCAAATTCTCAGCAGAAACTCACCTTACCCTTTGGCACATTGGTGCGTTCAACTTATTTGCCGCAAATCCTGCTGGGACTACCCGCTTTTAAACAATTAAATGTAAGATACTTGGCTTTGCGTCATCCCTGTTGATTTTGCTTTTCTTTAACTGGGGCATTGTACTATGTTGAGGTCTGTGATTCACTTCAGGAAAGTCTGATATAAACCAGTAGGACAATGATTTTTTTAATGGATCCTTTATTTTAGCAGGGGGACCCAATGAGACCAAAAAGTAGCCACTAACTGAAAGATCTAACTGAAAAGGTAACATCAGGTTAGCGTAATATTAAATTAATAGGCATGTGGCTTCAAGTGTTAATTGGGTATTTCACAGCAGACTCAAAGTATCATCCAATCAGAACCAATAATTGGAACCATCGCTTCTGTAATGGCCAATTCATCATGAGGCTGCTTGATACCCAACCTGGCATGACAGAAAACTCTTACAGTAAACATTCCTAGTGGGGAAACATTCTCAGAGGGAACATAATGATCCAATATGTGTATATCCTTACAGAGAAGCCATTGAAGCCCGGCTGAGAGCATGTTCAGAGACAGTTCTTCAACCTGTATTGGATGACAAATCAGCTGTACCTAACCGGGCAAGAACTAACAGGAAATCAATGTATCCAGCCACCTATCCTACATCAATACAGTGTATCACTTTCTTGCCATGAGCCTGCTCATTTCGCTCGTTCTGTCTCTCTGTCTTTTTTTTTCTCTCTGGTTTCTGTGTGTCTGCAGTGTGCTTCTTTGAAGGCCACAGCATCTCTACTGTTTTTTACTGTCATTGTTTCTCCGCTTTGTATTCAAATGATCAGGCTCACAGGCAGGAGGATGCAGGTCTTAAGGCGGAGCGGGCTGGTGGGAGAAGAGGGAAGAGAGGCGGTGAGCCGGCTTTTGGAGTCAGGTTTCTCCTAACCAGATTGTTACAAGGCGATGACAGCTGGAGGAATGCGCCGCTAATTCCCATAACGTGGGTCACGTGACCTTTCCGTTAGCTTATTTGAACACTCTGGGTGGTCATGGGAAGACAAAAATGTTCATCTGTAATGTGCATGTCATATACTGTATATGCACACTATGATTTGATCTCATTCAGCAGCAGTGTGTGTTTGCAAGAATAGGGTTTGTTACCGTAGCCTGAAACCAGACGATGAGGTTGTTTGTGGCCTTCCCTAGTGGCCAGACTAGACTGGCCAGTGACACATTTCTGTCTGTCTGCAAAGTGGGGCAGTTGGTTTGCGGTAGAGTAGGCCATGTTTGGCTTACAGACACTTGAAGGTGTCCCGTGATTTTAATCTTGGGACCAAATGCTTTTTTTTGTAAGTAACTCAGTTTCCATGTATTAAGAGTTTTGGTAAAGAAATTGGACGCCAGTGTGTGTTTGTTTGTCCCTTGCGCTTTGTTACTAAGCAGCGTTCAGGTATTGACATTTATCTTGACATCTTAATCCTTCTCGACCTTGTGTTTATAGAACAGGTAGGCTCTCAGTTCCTTCAGCTTTCTGTTGTTGACAACTGTTACTGTAATGATAAGGTTAGCACAGTGAAATCAGCTTGATGATTTAACATGTTCGGTCTCATTAAAACCTTCACTTGATCCATCATTACAGCCTCATATCATGCAGAAGAGCATTTGTCAAGCCTGACATAACTTTATTTAAATTCTAGTGAAAATCCTAAGTTTTACAAATAGTGTGATTATTATTCTTCATTTGATTTGATGGTTCGGCCATTTAAACATGGCATCCTGGGTTTTAATATTTACAAAAATCTGCGTGTCCTCAGCTTCAATGAAATGCAGAAACAAGCAGAAAAAGAATAAATACGTATGTGTCACTGGCAAAATGTGGAAAAATACGTTGTGTAACATAACATATGTAACATCTGTCTCTGAGGTTTCTGCCTCAATACAGTGGAGGTAAGTAGTGTTTTGTTTGTGGTGCTCAAAGCATTGAAAAGTTGCATTTTTAAAAATCTACAGCAACTTTTCTTTTTCAGAAACACTGTATTCATTATTTGGGATAATGCAGCAGTATTTATCATACAGACTATTTTCTTCTAGAAGGATGATCCTGAGTAACCAGGATGTATTTTCTGTTAAGAGATGTTGATGTTGTTTTTCATGAGCATTTTGTGAGCTTTATATCCACTTGTGTTGTTTTTGGGTGGACCCCAAAATCTGCACCCATTAAGTCAAAACTATCAGCAGGGCAAGACGCCACCAGTCAAGTCGAAAGAAAATATGTTCTGTTGCAATAGAACTGATCCTTTATTCAGAGGAAATATTGGGAACAATAGGGTTTGGGGCATTAGGCTCAGATATGAAAGTACAGCAACAAAAATCAAGAACAAGATCTCTCTGTAATATTGTTCATAATTATTTTAAAGGAACACAAAAACCTACAGTATTTGCATTTTCATGGTTGACATGTATTCATGTATTCTGTAAATTCAGCATTTCACAACTCCACGCACACAGATATACTTAGAGACTGTTTTAGCTGCATTTGATTGTCGTGTGTGATTGATGAGCTGTCTCACCCCTCAGCCCTGGAGCTGCAGTCGCAAGATATAGAGGCTACACACCGCATACACATTTGATACCCTTTTATAAGATT